GTTTCTCTCCGTATCCAATAAAGGAGGGAGATTTTGCTTAATCCTTCTTTTGTTGTTATAGAAACATTTTTTATTATCTTCAACAGCTGTAGCTAGGTTGAGCTCTAGCTGCTCTTTGGCTCTCCTAATGTTCTCCCTGCATAGCTTCACAACATCTTTATAGTCTTCATGAGATGTTTCTTTTAAAGATGTAACTGAGCCTGTTTGAATCTTTGAGTTGTTGCAAATCAAGATTAAAACCTAGAATTAGCATCATAAATGATCAGGAGAAAAATGGGGAAATATGACAGAGTAAGACTGTAGTAATAACAGGTGACCACTTGTGGAGACAGACTTGTAAACTGCATAAACTGAAAATTGTTTTATTTCAGTCCTGGATGATGTTTAGTAGTATTTTACTGTGAAAGTAACAAACCTGCTTCCAGATTCTTGGAAAACACAGTTTTGCAAAGACAGTATTTATGAAGAAGCATCTGGAAATAGCTGGTAATGCAGAGCAGTTTGTGTAGCCGGTAATTTCTTCACCCATATGTTGAGTAGACTATTGCATTTTTAAAAGTGTCACAAGTTTCATTATATTGGAAGGAGCACTAATTACTTCTGTTAGGTGAAGTTGTGTCTGTGTACATATGTGACTGTAAATATACCTATAAAGTATATACAAAAAAATATATATGTAGCACATTAGGGGGGTATATTTTGCAGGTGTAGCACATGTTTTCTGAAGGCTTCTTTTGTTGCATTTGAGTGAGAAGGCAGAATGCTGTCAGAAATTATTAATGGCATCTATTGGAACAATTTTGTAGTTACTGCAGAAAGCCTGCTGCAGAATGAGCTCAAAGTCAACTGCTCTAAGCTATGCCTTCTGTATTTCTTACAGAAATATATAAAAGGTAAATTATAATTCATCATATAGTTTGTGTATTTTTAAGTTTTGAGCTTAATGTAGTAGGTGTTTCATAAAGGGCTCTGAATGTAGCTGCCTTCTGCTGTTCACTCACAATGTGTAAAAGTAAATGGCAAAATTTATGAGAAGAGATTCCACATAATTTTATTAACATTTACCCTATCAGGGAGACCTCCAAGAGGAGATTGTTAATCTAGAAATAGAGGAATTCTGTTTGTTTCCCTGTCCAAGAAGATATCTCAGAAAACCGTTTTCACGTAGTCGATCAAAGAGTAGGTCAACAGCAAAAAGATTCTGACAGTCAAGGAGGTGTCATCAGAAACAAGAAACAGGATCCTCCTCTGCCTTTCAGTTTTCTGCTTGTTGATCAAGAGTGGGTAGTGAGAAAATCATTGACATGTCTCTTTACTGAGAGGGAATTATCTTTTGAACTTTTGTTCAAAGAAGGAACAGGAAGCCTGTAAGGAGCTGTTGAAAGTTCTGCAATTGCTTTTCTAGTGCACTTCAGGATCTTGATAGAAGTATTGATGAATCCTATTTAACAAGGCAGTAATTTTATACTTAGATCATAACAGACTCCTTATTCTTCCTGTGGTCACAACTTATTTATTTTTTATTTTGCAGATACTACAAAATATGATCTTGTGGCTTCTTTTCATCTTCAGAATATTGAAAATTTCATGGGATGCTGTAAACAGAATAGCATGGATTTTAGCTTGCTTTCTCCTATTGTAGAAACCTACACTGAATAAACAGTGTAGTTTTCAGCTAGTGTCCATACTCTCTTCATTTTGTTCTGTGTGGTGAATTTTCTGGATACATTTGTAGATTCTTCAGTGCTTTTCATTGTGACATTATGAGTCAACCTAAACATAAATAAAAGCAAATAAGCATTCTGAATTCATTATCTACTTGAAACTGAGAAGTCAAAATGTGCACTTATCCCCTTCTCTTCATTTTGGGAAAGTCATTCCAAATAAAACCCAAGAAGTTGTTGGAGGTAAATTGCAGCATTGATCACAGTTTAATTTAAACATAGGTGACCTCGTAGTCTTTGTCTTTGACAATTGTACATTTGTAAGTGTTTTGTACAGTCCATAGGTGCCAAAAAAGAATGCTTTACTGCCTTCTTTGGCAAATAAATCCACAGTCTCTTTTATTCTTTTCCTAATATTCCATTTGTGTTTTCCTTACTATAATGTTGGACTAATAGAATAAAATTAATCTAATTTAATATAGCTCGAGCTATGTAAATCTTATTATCTGCCATAGACACCCAAATAATTAATCTTATTAAATAAAACTTTTAATATTTCATGAGAACCTCTTGCTTAATGGAAGACATTTTTGTAGAGCATTTGCTTCGCTGCTTAATTTTCACTGTGTTGAATTCTCTAGGTAAATCTAATAGTAGCATTCCCTTTTGTTCTGGCCACTATTTGCTATTAGTTGGTTAATATTACTGTTGCTGGTTCCTGTGTTGCTGTTACGATGAAATCCTGAAGAGGTGACTAGCAGCAAAAGCATTTAAATCTTCTCCATCTATCAGAAAATTCTGTCAAACTAGCAAGAGCAGTGCTAACATGTTATTGTTCTGATGAGTTCATACCAAGTGTACTTCTTCCCTTTATAGTTTTTCATGTAGTTTTTAGAATTTCATATAATTAACATTACTTCATAGAAACAATCGGATAGAATTGATATTAATGAATGATAGAGATAAGTAGACAAGAAGTGACAGAGCTGATATTGCTTGATATGAACTGGAGACTGAAATTTTCAGCCAAGTGCTTATGGATTTTACTATTACTGTATCTGAAAAGGAGTAACCAATGCTACAAAAATTATTAATATGACTGTGTCAGCAATGTATCAGTTAGAGATTATAGAGTGGACTGTAGGATGTTCTTCATTTCTGTATGTGGGAATCCTGTAACCTTGTACTCCTGCCCCTCTGTGTTTCACTCTTGCTTCTCTACACTCCTGAAGAGCTGCTATGAGAATGTATGACAGAATACTTTTCTGTCTTCAGTGTGAAGATGAAATTGTGCTCTGAATCTGTTACAGAAAATGTAAGACAACCTTTTGCAAAATTGTATTTCCTGAAGTATACTTTCTACCTATTATATTCAAAATAATTCAAAGATGCAAAATACATGGAGATCAATGGGAGCAAGTGTATTCTCTCAAACAGTGGGGGGCATAAATGGAGTATCTGAATTGCCCAGAAATATTGTTTCATCACAAGTGAAAGGTAGACTAAGAAGAATGATGGCATCAAGATGAAGTGATTTTTATCTTGTTTTTATAATAAAAATGGTCCATCTTTAATATAGTAGTTTTAACACAACAGTGCCCTACAGATATTACTTAAGATTTTTTTGATTCTTTGATGTTGTCTGACTGCCCTCTTCAGGATGACAGTGACTGTGTTAGTCTGCTTAATGTTAGTATCTGTTTCTAGAAATAACCAATCTAATTAATGCCTAATTCACTAGTTTTATATTATAATTGCAAACTTTGTGTAAATGTGTTAAGTAGCAAATTTTACTCAATCAGGTAGTAAGGGTGAAGGTTGAGGGGTTTTTGTGCTTAATAAGATTTATTCCTTGGGGTGTGTAAGAGATCATAAAATTTCATTTTAACTTCTGAGGTTTTTATGATAGATTTTTTTTGTGTACAATATATTCCTTGATACAACAATTCTGCTGGAGTTGTATGTAATATATTTCATGCCTAAGGCTTATTTCAGTTATGAGGAAATGGGGAGGGTCTTATGACATCTGTGGTCCTGTCATCATCTTCCTCTCTTTGCTCTCTCAAAATACATAATTTATTGTGTTTGTTTAGTGCAGACTTTCTCTTGCAATAAACCGATTTTTGCATCTACAGCTTTTAAATAAACAGCATTCTGCACCATCAAATACATGGAACTGCTTTTTGAGAAAAGCTGCAGAACATGTTTATTTATACTAGTTCTACATCTTATCACATGCAAAGAAAAGTTGCCAAGTGGTAGAACCTTGACTTAGACTTGACAGCAGATACGATTAATTAGTAATATGGCAATAATTAGCAAATGAGCCTGTGTAAATCCAAAAGTGCTGCAAGGATCCTGTTGCTTTTTTTTTTTTTTTCCCTTTTTTTTTTTTTTTTCTTCTTCTCCCTGAACTATTCATTGATATGGATTTGTCCTGTGGAAGAACCTGTGGTTTTATTGTTTTGTTATTGTGTGTTTAGAGAATATCTCTGCTGGTAAAGATCCCAGAATTCTCCTGGAATTAATTTTTTCCTTTCTTCTCAGTGCAGTCAGGGCAAAGTTGTTTGTTTCAGTTTGGCTGGTTTTCTTCTTTCAAAATGAATGAAGGAACAAACAAAACCCAACCAAACAATGAAAAAAATCACCTGAATATAGAGCCATGAGTAAAGCCAAGAGGAAGCTTTCTGTCAAATTTGAGTAGTAGCAATATGAATTTCCAGTGATGATAGCAGAGATAATTTAACCCTGTATGTTGTGAAAAATTATCACATCTAAAACAAGTTTTATATCTTGAGTGTATTATGCTACTTACAAGAGTACTGTTCATTTAGTTAGCAGTGCTTAGCAGCTTCTGTGGCTCTTTATATGGCTCTGCCTGTTTAGGAAGATTACTCCTGTCACATCTCTGTGTTATTTTTCCACTAGTTTCAGAATTCCTTTATGTGCAGCTGTCTTCAGCAAGTAAATCCTGATATCCTGCTCAAGGGCCATGTAAGCATCTCCTTGCACGGATCTGTTAGCAGATTTGCGTGACGCTTGCCACTCAGGCCACTCCTGTTTTCTGAGACTCTTAAATACAGAAAACATTAGTTCTTGTAAACATAATCTTGGGATGTCTCTGGTATGGTATTATTTGACTTAACACATTTCTGATTTTGGAGAAGGCAGTTTGAAGCAAAAGCTGCATACGTAGCTGAAACTTTTTTTAATTGATATTATGGATGTTGAGAATGGCACGGCAAGTGCAATTCATCTAAGCTCTGTGGCTGGTTATAGAATATTTTTTGCCAGCAAATGCCACATGGTTGTATGATTGTTTCTTTTCCTTAACAGGCAAGCTAATGAAGAATATCAAGTGCTGGCTAATTCATGGCGCTATTCCTCTGCTTTTTCGAACAAACTGTTTTTCACAATAGTGGATTATGATGAAGGGGCAGATGTTTTTCAACAGGTAAATGTTGGATACTATAAAATATTCTTAATTTTTAGAACTATGTGTTGATTAAACAAATGATACAAGGCAAATTATTTTCTGTGTGTAGCTGTGTACCTCTGTTTTATGTGCAAATTCTTCCTGAATAAAACACGAGACACTGCAGTTTCTGTGACGTTAGTGAAGACAGATTTTTACCAGTAGCCACTTCTAGTGTTTTCCAAGTGTAGTTTATAATATTGGTTTATAGATTACATATATGTGCGCAATTTTTTTTCAACCTGTGTTAATGTCATTTTTTGAATTAAGCACAATGCAACTAATGTTTCTCTTTAAAGATTTCCTTTAGGGGAAAAAAGCTTTTAACTAAAAGAGCCTTTTAATTGCTTTTATGTAATACAGGATTCTTCAACTCCATTAATATTTGTGTTTTTCTGGAAGTTCTTCAGGGAGAACAGAAGAGACAAGTTTACATTTTAAATATTGGCTATGAAGAGTGAAAAATCAATTGTTGGAAAACAGTTTAAGGCCCCCTCTTAAGTAGTCAAGGCAAAACACATTCCTTGAAAATGAATACTAAATATTGATGTTTTTCTCTGATATTTATCAGCTTATCGAAGCTAAAAATGTAGATTTTAAAATCTACAAAAGAGGAGCGACACGTTTTGAAGTTCACTGTATTTTTAACCACCTTATGGTGAAGTATGTTTAAAATATTCAGGGGATTTAAAATTTTCAGGGGAAAAGTTTAATATTTATTTTTGAAGTTCTTAATTTTAAAAGTTTATTTACTGTGCTTCATATATATTTTTGCTTCCAATTGACATCTTAAAATAAATATATTGTGTGAAGAATGGTTATTAATGGCTTAAAATTTTGCCTTAAAAGTTTTAGTTCAATAAGCTTTAAAATCACCTTACGTTATCCTACATAGTTATAATAATGCAAAATACATTGTTTGCTTTTGTCTTAGGCCAATCAATACGTATTAGAATAGTCCAATCCAATTTACTCCTTGTGTAAAAGGTCACACACATTCAGCTTATTTCAGGTGGTATGTATTTGAAGTAATGTAAAATTTAGACAACACTGCATAAAATATGTATTTTTGACTGTCTTTGAAAACTAGTGTTAAGAATAAGTGATACTAATGACTATTCTGATGTGGATTTGAGGGAAATCTAGTTCTGACCGTATGTTTATATGTGCTAAAAAGTCACGTAATACTGAAAAAAAAAAAAAAAAAAAAAAAAAAAAAAGTAATGTGAATTTGATTTTTCAGCTTTTACTCTGTTTAAAGAGAAATGAAAAAGCAGTTGCAGACCAACTGCATCGAAACTCTATACATCAGAAGGTGTCTGTATCTCAGAATGTTTCTGTACCTTACAAAATATTTTATACAACTATTTCTCAATATTTGTCTTAGCCTTTCTCAGAATATTTTTTATTTCCGAATCAGTTCACTAAAGAAGAGGTCTATTTTTTGCTTAGATGGAAAATATTTTAATAACTGGTAATTTCTGTTGATAATTCAGTTCTATACTTGATTAAATATGTTTTGGTAATGTAATAAAACTCATTTTGTAGGAATGAAGCAAACAAGTTTACTCTGCCTTTGTTATTTAATTTCAAGATCTCCATATTGCTTCATCTTTAAGTATTTCCCCTGATTTTGTTTATGTTTTCACTTTTTTGAAGAGTTTTTATTGCACTGTTTCTTAGATGGACTGAATATGGAGGAATTTATATTCTCCTATACACTTGAACACTTTTTTCCTCCCCTAGAATTACAACCTAATAATAGTTTGGATGGGTGTGGGACATCTCTTTTACTAATTACAGTAAAGTTCTTACAGTGTGTGAAAACTTTAAAGCACAAGATATTGTTACTCAGAAAAGCTTGTAGGTGAAATAATTAAACATCCCAAAGAATCTTCTGGAAATAATATTCTGAGCACTCTTTTTGCAGGACTATACATGAAGATATCTAAAGAAGAGTAATTTATGGAGGCAAATAATATTTTTCATGCTAATTAGGTGTGTTGTCCAATACATTAAAGGTAAACATTTTTGAGGATAGAGTTACTAATTTTTTTTCTGCTATTTTTCTTGGTTTTATAGCTGAATATGAATTCTGCTCCGACTTTCATGCATTTTCCTCCAAAAGGTAAACCCAAGAGAGCTGACACATTTGACCTGCAGAGAATCGGATTTGCAGCTGAGCAGCTAGCTAAATGGATAGCTGACAGAACAGATGTTCATGTAAGTTATTTGACAGTTTTAAAAGTTGAAGCCAAATATATCTTTGTAGTCTGAGACAGGCTGATGACAAATTCCATCTCTCCTTTATAGGTTTTTTCCTCAAATGTAGATTCTAGAACACATTAAAAAAAACAAAAAAAAACAAACAGTCATCATACTTGTGGTAACTTCTGAAGTTTGCAAGTTATATTCCACTCGCTTTGTTAAATTTTACATAGTCTTATTCTGTATGGAAAACAAACAATAGTATTGTGATAATTAGTTGTGAATAAGTAAAACGTGATTTGCAAAGCTATATATAAAACAGATCCAAATGTAGCCGCTCCTAATTCAGACACAACCTGAAATCTGTTAGAGAAATAATGTGTTGAACAGTTCAAAATGATGCTTAAAACTTTTTTCATATGGTGTGCTTATATAAGGGAAGTACTATTTTGTCTTAAGTATAGCTTTAGGGATTAGTATTTCTGACTCTGAAACCAGATTTCAGATGCTCCCTGTTTGTTTGTATGAAATATAATCTGTTTGTATGCATTTATTTGTGATCTGTATTTGCATTTATCTTTTCCAGATTAGAGTGTTCAGGCCTCCTAACTATTCTGGTACAATTGCACTGGCTCTTCTGGTATCTCTTGTTGGTGGCTTGTTATATCTGCGAAGAAATAACTTGGAGTTTATTTACAACAAAACTGGCTGGGCCATGGCAGCTCTGGTATGCGGATTTCCCTTACTAATATGCTTTTTATTAGTTTCTTATCCTAGCATATGTGTCTTCATTATTTGCCCAGTAAACTAAAAATTATTGTGTTAATATGTTGTTCAGAATGGTGCTATCAGACAAAGATAATCTAGATTTTGGGGCTAATTCTCATAAACAGTATCAGTTACTAGGAGTGATTCAATGAAAATTAGCAAATACTCTGTTAGTTACCTGCCGTTTTTTGTTTGAACTTTAATAAGAATATATTTCTAATAAAAAGTGTAACTAATGTTCACTGCTATCATTCAATGTGACCTTTTTTGTAAAAGCTGTAATGTGACTTGGTTTAGTGTGGATTTTAATGTCAGACTGTATTGCTTAAGAATAGTGAAAGGTTAAGAAAAGTAACCAAGGCTTTTATATATTTGTAAGGAAATTCTAAAAGAATTAAGAAACAAAGAAAATGGTGGAAATTCTTTCCAAAATTAGTTTCAGGAGTACTGACCTCAAAGTTCCACTGTAAACCTAAATGAGAATAGGATGATCTTACAGGGTTAACTCTGATGAAATTGTGAAACTACCCAGTAGTCTACTTGAAATATTAGTCAACTAAACCCTCAAGGCCATAAATAAGGAATTAAGGTTTAACATGCTTAATAGTGTATTGCATAGTATTTATTTATATCATAGTTTTCAAGTAACTAAGTAGACTGATAAAAAATGTGGCCTGTGCGACATAGTCAGCTGTCTCAGTTTTAGATAGGAAATAGCATGCAAAGATGGTAGATGATGGTTAAGGTGTAGCAATAAATACTTGTTACTCTGCCATCATTATGACTGACATAAGAGGAAAAATCTGGGGAGCAGCATCTAAGGCTTAGTTTTCAGGGACGTAGAGTCAAGAGCAGAGTTATCAACAGTAGACCAGTGTCTATGGTTATCAAGTCCAATCCAGCATTTTACAGAGAGATCTTAATAGAGCTTCTTCCTTCTGTATGAGCAATATATTAATTGAGAATAGTAATTTTTAATAATTTGTTCATGTATTTTGTATGACATAAGGCAAACTGTTCTTATTTCATGTAAATGGTTATTCATTCACTTCATCAATTTAAAGATTTTCTCGACTTGCATCAGTATGAATTAACCTTTCTTGAAAGCACATGGCTAGGATTGTTGATGAATATGAGTTTACTTGTGCAGCAGTATTCATATTTTATTTCTCATCTAGGCTCCCTTTCCCACAAAAGGTTGGACCAGATGGTCTTTTGAGGTCCCTTCCAACCTGTGCTATTCTGTGATTCTCTGTATTTTAGATCTGCTAGAAGTAGGTTACTGACATATCCTATAATTGTTTCTGCCTTTTCAAAGCCATCTCAAGTTTGCTGTTCTGCTTTCATTCAATAATATGAGAAGATACCTTCTTTTGAGACACTTTCAGCTGATGGGCCCACTGTCAACCTATATTACATCAGTTCAAAGATGAAAATGCTTATTACCTGTTGGGCTCTAATTCAATTTTTCTTTCTACATTATTAGCAATATCTTAATGCAAGCTCTTTGTTCAGAGTTCCTTAGTGTTTGGCATTACTCTTGAATAATGGCTACTGATAATGCTGTTTTCTCTCATGGTGTTATCATAGCATTTCCTACTAGTCTATGTGGCATACATTATTTAAGCAGTACATTGAGGAAGGAAAAAAGAACAAGATTTTAAATAAGCCACCCACAGGACTAGATTTCAAGTGGAATGATGTCTCCTTTTGATTTAGAGGACCAGGGGCAGAATGTCTTCTTTGTTCCAAGATGTCATTTGGAGTATGCTGAGCCCTAGCACAGAGCTTTGACAGTTCTATTCCAAAGTAAGTCTGCGATATTTAGTTACATATATTTTTATAGATTACCAATATTTTTCAATGAGATACACTATCACCAAAAAGCTCAAATTTGATGTGTATCAGTCTAACTTTTTTTTTGACTCCTAATCTTTAGAGATCACCTGAATAAAACAATAATTAGCATACCAAAATAGGTATGTAAAACTGATATGTAATCAGTGGTATTTCCTTTGTTTAACCATGCACTGAATCTCAAGAGACAGCAATTTTATTCCAATGTCATACCTCAGGGTTTCAGATGTTTGAATGTTTTGGGGAATTGTGGTTTTTGTCTTGCAGAGGTTAAAAATGAGTTCTTCAAATCAAGAATCATTCCATTACAATCTGCATTCAGTAAATAGTCGAAGACATAATTAACTTCCTAGTTAATTTTCTTAATTTACCACATCAATTCTGTCTTAAAATATTTGCTGTTTTCCATAGAAGCAACTGGATATTTTAGATCTGAACATAACTGTAAATTGCAATGTAGAAAACACATAATCACATTCAACAGGAACCCCTGTGGACAGGGTTGATGTCCAAATGTGATCAAACATTTAAAGAAACTGTATTAATGCCATTCAATAATTGTCATACTGCTGATTGTATTGACAAGCAATAATAGAATTTAAAATTAATTAAAATGGCATTAATGCCATTTATCATTTTTGCTAATACTATTTCCTGTAAAATTCTGTTTACTTTAAAAATTAATAGCACTTAGAGGATGTTTCAGGAAAAGGTCTTATATCTGAACGTATGTATCCATTAATCATAGTATTGAGCCAGTGCTTCCCTTTTTCAGTCATTACTGTTCTTTTGCCTTCATAATATTGTCAAAGCCCCATAATGCAAAATGATGTTATAGCAAAGATCATGCAGTTACCAGAAGTTCTTTTGGTTTAACTCAGATCTACTTGGACATGCAAGTTAAAGTTGTAAGTTTTTTGGTGGAATGGGCAGGGAGTCCGGATTGCAGGCTTTTGCACAGATGACCTCATTTCTGTAAAAAGACTAGAATATGTCAGGATCCATAGAAGAAAATAGACAGTCATTAATATATTCATTCTAAGGTATTGTGTAGTTATGATTCTCTTACATGGGGCTTTTTTCTACCAGTAAAGCTTAGAGCTTTTATTTGTGAAAGATCTTGAAAAGGGAGAATGGAGAAGATGGCATCTAGTTAAGGGGAGAGAATCGTGCCTAATAAAAAGCTTTTATGAATGGCATAAAAAATAATAAATACTTAATTTTAAAGAATTATATTATTCATTAGTATATTTTCCTTTTTGAACTTTAAAAACAAATTAAACAGTGAGAGCCTGGCAGGATGCATTAAAACTACAGGAAGCCCGTGTTTTTGACAGAACTATTGGCAATTTTGTTCTTAATTGGCAGTTCTTTTTATGGATATTGCAGAACTGAGAAAGCAGAGGGGCTTTATTCTAAAAGCTGTAGTTTTGCTTTTTGATTGTTTTTAAGGCAGTGTTGTACTGCTGGGTAGCCAGAATTCATTAACCATATGGAAAATAACATATTTCGTTTCAACTGAAACTGTTTCATAGTTATCCTGGAATTCAGTAACTGAAAACTGTATCATTGCAAACTGAAAAAGTTTCTTGTTTTCTTTTTCTTGTTTTTCAGAGCTTCTTTGTTTTGAAGAGCTTTTATGCTCTCAAATGTTGGATACTTTAAATGAAAAATGGACAGTGTCTTTCTGCCTAATTGAATGATCTGTTCCTAAAAATTTTATTTTTTTAAATATATATCTATATCTATATATCTATATCTATATATATATATCTCCATTGATAGCAGAAAGTTGTCTCATAGGTAATATTTCCAGCACTGTTTGAGGAGGATATTTAAGAACGCAGTTTTTAGTGATCCATCTAATGGTTTTGATAGACTCAGAAGCTTTCATCTCACACATTGATTCCAGTGCCTCAACATTAGATTGTTCAACTGCAATGCTATTAGCAGTTTCATCCCCTCATTGAAGCACTTCATACTCTGGTAGTATCTTGTATGCCTTAGGCATTTTTATTTGCAACATTACCCAGAAGACTTTAAGAATGGCAAACCAGGATGACTGAGTCACAGTACATAATATCCCAAAAGATGTCTTTTGAGATCACATCCAAAATTTATCCCCTAGATTATTTTTGAGTTTAATTCAAATCCTACTATTCATCTATGGATATTTTTCCCTCTGACATGCTAACACAAAGATGAGGAAGGACTTCATTCTTTAGATATTTGCAGAGTCCTGTCCTTTTATACTGATAAGAAGCAGCCATTCAGATTCTTGTCAATACACTTCATTTCTTAAGCAGGAAGAATAAAACATCAGATGGTATAAACTGGACAAATTTCTAACATTTTAGATAAGGTATTGCTACATTTTAGACAACAGAACTGATGCTGAGAGTTTATTTGTTGGCTAGAATGTGGACTGCTAAGGGGCTTTTTAAAGTATTTTCTTTACCAGGCTGCCACTGGTTTTCTGCATGTAATTTTCAGTTTTATTTTATGTGAATATTTCAGATTTGCCTGTATACTTGTGGAATCCGGGAAGGCAAAATCTGTGCTCAAATTAGAAGGCAACTGCTTAGGAGTTGACTCTATTGGGCAAAATATGTCAAGTCACTTGAATGAGGAGACAAAGCATGTGTTTACTGTTGTTGTAACACTTAATGGTTATGAGAAATGTGTTCTGTGCTGATACACTCCACAGTACCTATACCATACAGTACATTCATCATCAGTTACTGCTCCAAAAGAGCTTGAAGGGTATCATGGCTACTAGTGGCTTCTTACCCCCTTCTGGGAATGAGGGTAACAAAGTAGTGTATTCTATTCAAAGATACAGCTAGAAAATGCCAGGCTCCTCTATGTGAGTAGATAGGCATCTCAAAAGAACAGCAATAAATGCAGGTTATTAATTTCTTTTTCTTCCCTTAGAGGTTTTAGAGATGCACAGTACCTTTTTCAAGATACAGAAACACTTTCTCTTTGCTTCTGTTGTACTCAGTCCTTAAATTGTATAGCTCTTATTGGAGATTCTTATAAGTGATGGATTGTTATTTAGAAATTGAGTACAGATCTTGCAGCTCTGTAGCCTTCATTGAGTACAAAAATAAAGTTAAACTAGATAGAAAGGATTACATTTCTTTAAAACAATAACTGTGAAATGACTAAAACATATACAGAATGGTATAGAAATTAAGTATAGAACTGGCTGCCTATATCTCACCTTTTTTTGAAACCATGCATGAATTTAAGTATATTCATCAATGAAGCTAGAATTTCATTGTTTTTCTTATGTTACAAAGTATTTGCCATGTTCTGGAGTCTAAAGTTGCATAGAGAAATCTAGTGATCTGCTTTGTATAGTGTCTGTAGTAGGAAGCTTCACTTCAAAGTGCACACAAATGACTTTTTAAGTCTTTAATAATTTTGTTTAATAAACTGGCAGATAGTGTTAAACAAAACTTACACCTTTGCGAAAATGATGTATTAAACCCAAGTCATTTGACAAAGTTTGCAAGACCAAGAACAGCTGAGAAATTCTGCCCGTGTACCTGTAAAGTCATGTGTTGCTAGCAATTCAGTGTTTTGGTGGGACTCTTGGTGCTTATTTACCTTGTGTCTGTTCTTAGAAGCCTTGTGGTACACACACAGCTGCACCACGGGTGAGCTCAAAGCAGTGTCCCTCTTAGCGAAACTAAGGCTGAAGTCATGCACTATGAAACCATCAAGAAAACACCACATCCAATTTGTTAACAGGCTCCTTGAGCGGTCCTGTCTACATGTACAGAGTACTTGTCTAAGACAGGTAATAGAGTTGGATTTCATTGACACTAAAGACATCCTGTGGACATTTGGTCCTGGAACCATAATGTGTTGTAGCAAGTCATTGTTCCTTCACTCTCTACACTGCACCAGCCAGTAATGTAGATCTACTGTTTGCTTTAATCGTTTGGATGCAGAATAAACTACCTAAATCTGGAAGCTCTTAAAATAGCTAACCCTTGAACTACCCTGATAACTCAGGTGGCATGCAGCAGTTAAAGTGTTATTCTTGAAGTGTGACAAGGAGAAATAAGGGACCAGGTGGATGAAAGAGATGTCCATGATACTCTTCTCTGTCAAACTGCTGAAGAACAGACTCTACTCTGGATAAGTGGAGTTGAAAATCTTTCTAAGTAATCAGAGAAAAGTGCCACAGCCTGATTCTTCTCCTGTTCCTCAGTTTTCATCCTTTGTACTTTGACATTTCCAACAAAACTGCAGAAAGGGGCCACTTCTCTGCATATTAATTGTTCCATTGAAATAAATACAATATAAACCCGTAAGCTAAATATGAAGTTACTAATCTCATGTTACAAGTCGTTCATTCATAGGAATGAATTTGACGAAGATTTATCCTGGGAAACACCAACTCACAGTAATAGTGAGTGAATGAAGTGTTTTGGAAATTTTGTATTCCAAAGCATGGGATCCTCTGGAAACTATGGGGTTTGGAATGGTAAGCATTGTGTATCAGTGTGATATATCGGGTATCATAGATGCATACATCTGTTCTACAAGTAACGGTGTGTATTTCAAGTGTATTTTACAAACAGTAGAAGTCTGCAGTTTCCAATGTTTGGTTGGTTTGTTTGGGTTTTTTTGTTTTGGTTTTGTGTTTTTTTTTTTTTTTAATCTGTATGATTGTAATAGAATATAAAACACAACAAAATGAGCTTGAATATCAAGTGCTATCTGTAGCACACCAAATGCTTGCTTAAGGGATATGATGGAAATGTCTTCTTCAGATACTTAAAATAGATGAAGAGTAGAAGAGGACAAGGGAGAAGCTGGAAAATGTTTTCTGGTTTCTGGAAAAGTAATTTTGAAATACACTCTAAAGAGTTGCATGGTGGAAGGAAATTGTGGCAGATCTACTAAATTAGTTTTCTTGGTCACTAACAGTCTGAACTGGAAGAGGATGAAAGATACCTTCAGGATAGACAATGATATTGTAACTGTTTCCTTTTCAGTAATATTAATACCTGGAATTTGTTTCTCCACACTATTGCATCTCCTAGATATTTTTTTGTTAGACGTTACCATGTTGTGAAACAGTGCATTTGTATTGGCAAGCATTAAAGATCTTCAGTAATTGGAGAGATTTATCCATTATAAAGTATGACTGTATATAAATGGGGGTGGGTTTTTTTAATCTATCCATATGGAAGCATATTTGGCCCTAGAGAATGTAAATTACAGTCATTTCAGAATGAGTAAAATGTCTTTTCATAGAAAACTCCCTTTCAGAGAGCCACAGTTTGTATCTATGCATCTGTTCTCTTTTGACGTTTTACTTTTCAGCTAACTTTTGGCCTTTAAGAATACCTCTTTCACCTCACTTTTGTTTTCCACATTTTTAGTTTCTGTACTTTCACATAAGCTGTCATCTGTGAGATTCATCACCAAAATTGCAGTATAATTTTTTTCTGCTAAAACAATCTGCAAGGCATAGAAATAACTGTGTTACCCTTTTCCAGTAATAGAAGCATACACTCTCTTCATTTCTTTGCATATTATTAATTAAAACATGACCCATTTGCTAATAATCGCTACCAGTATGCTTTCATATGCCATATTATACTGTACTGTTACATTCCAAATCCTGTTAAGGGCAAAATGAAAGACACCTTAGATTTAAAGCCAAATCTGTTCTTAGTGTGATTGAAATTGTAACATGACAACAAAGAATTATTATAAAACAGGACATGAATTTTTTTTCAATATTTTCATTTTCTTTCTATTACAAGGGCAAAAAATCTTAACAATAACACCATAATTAAAAATTGTTATACATACATTTACTAGTATCTTTCCCTTTCTCTGATGTCTGCCACCGTTTCTGTCTGGATCTTGAGATATACTTAGCTTTGGTTTGGGATGTGGGGATGCTATGGTGAGTTGTTTGCTGGGAGGAGTATGATGATGATGCTTTCTTCCTCCTTGCTCTGGGGTTCACTTGGGGCTACTTTTACACTTTGTGCTTCCTTCACTGATCTGCAGCTACATTTTACATCCAAATTTACTGGGTAAATGGGGATTGTCTGCTTGTCCTTTTTTCTGTTTTTTACCGCTAAAACTGTTTTTGACCAGCTCCCATGTCTGTGTTTCTTTAATTCACCATTGGCATAATATTTATAGGTTTGGTGCATCCAGTGTAATCCTGTGCCCCCTTTATTCTCATTCCATACTGGTACACGTCATCTTGTGTTTCCACTTTTGTTGTCTCTGCTGTCATCCCATGCTTACACCACATCAGTATGTAGTTACTCATTCGTAGGAGTGAATTTGACAAAGTTCTATTCTGAGAAATACCAGCTCACAGTAGTGGTGAGTGAATGAGGTGGTTTGGAAATTTTGGGTTCCAAAGCAAAAAAAAAAAAAAAAAAAAAAAAAAAAAAAAAAAAAAAAGAAAAGAAATTAGTATTCCATACAAAGATAAGCAAAAGTTAATGTAAACTAGATATAGCCACCTGGTCTTTGGAAAATTTTCTGTTTCAGTTAAACAACTAAAAAAAAAAAAAAATCCAGAAAAGCAAACACAGATTTAGATAAACCTCACAAGATTCAGCCCTACAGCCTTGCACAGTTTGTTCAAATCATATCTCTAGAGGTGGCAATAGTGCATTTCTGGTGATACAGAGTTACGCTAGCTTACTTTCATTTCACTGATATGTTACTAAACATTCTTTAAAGAAAACCCTTTAAAGGTTTTTATTTAAAGGATTTTAGTAAAAACCTGATTTAGTTAACCATCACAGTATGAATTTTTACATTTATGATCCATCTGCTTAAATCATTATACTGTGTTGTTGGAAACATTGCTGTACAGTAAAAATGAGTATATATGTAAATACTTAAATACTTAAATTATCTTGGAATTTTTGTAAGGATTATACGTACTGATAAGTCAGAAGACATATTTAGATGATCCAGATTTCCCATTTCTGTTTTTCTCATTTGGTAATCAAAAGATACTAACTATATTGTCCTCTTTAAGGTAGTCATAATGACTCTTGCTATGACTGCGATGTTTGTCATGTAGATTCTGGAGTATGACTTTTTGGCGACCATTATTACAGTTGTCATACATACCTAATGTAGCTTCCCACTTCTTTCCATATGGAATTTCACTTTTCTACCAACTCAACTATTGATATTTGTCATAACTAAAATGAATCATAGTAATTTAGGACACAAAATGTGAATTTCATAAAATGGGAGAGACTTTTTTTTGTAATTGGATTTTTTTTTCTTACGGCTTTATATATCATTTCATACACCTGAAAGCAAATGGGTAAACTAACATTTGAATTGGTTTAGACGCAGAAATAATTTCATGAAAGGAGGTACAAATCTTGATTGATAGTTTGCAGAATATTCGCAATTAATGCCTTCTACTGCTGTGAGTGCTTTTTGTCATATAGATGTTTAAATGTGGCAATTCCAAGTGCACATAAAGACATGATTATTTCAAGTGAGATTTTGAAAATATCTGTCTTGAGCTAACTCATTTTCTAACAGAAGAAAATTAAGAATTTTTAAGAAGAAAATTAAGCCATTAAGAATATTATGGAAGCAACACATCTAAAAATCCTATCCTAAAAATTAAATTGAGGTGAATACTGTATCTGGTTAGGTAAACAATTATGTATCTAAAACAGGCATCACCAGCAGAATGGATTTCTATTAAATTTCTCTGGGTAAATAAATGTGTATATTGTTTGTCTTTTTTTTTTTTCTAGTGTGTTGTATTTGCTATGACATCTGGTCAGATGTGGAATCACATCCGTGGACCCCCATATGCACATAAAAATCCTCAGAATGGACAAGTGGTGAGTTGATTGTTTTAATTTTATTTTGAGGGGAAATACTATATAGACCGATGTTTCCTACAGTTGCAAATAATTGGTTTCATAGCACTGACAGTCTATCAGAGTCTTAAATCTCCACTTGCAAGCAGAGTGTGTTTTTCAGATATTTAGAAAGTGCCACCAACTTTCATTTGAGCAGGAAATAAGTGGCTATGTTTTTCAAAATTCTCTCTATTGGGCTCCCAGCTGTAGTGAATGTGTTATAAAATGTTCCATACCACACAGTGTTCACTGCCCAGAGATAAATGGATATTGTGTCTTTTTGTAGAAACGTGCTCCCTCAAAAAGTAAAAAGCAAGTTTGTTTTTTTCTTATTTTCAGGCCCCATTTACACAAGCTTTTGAGGTTTGTAACCCAATATTTTCTTCTTTCTTGAGCATTTTAGTTAGAAAAGGAGATGACAAATATTTCTGTGTGCTTTGTACCTTTTTCTGTCATGCTCATAACTCCTGCACTTAACTTTATGGAATGCTTTTTCCTATATCTCTTTACTCCTTCAATTTAAATTCTTCATCAGCTTTAGTAAGAAGTTACCACTGCTGCTACTGCCAAAAGTACTGTTATATCCTGCTACTGCTGTCTTTGAAGGAATTTTCTCCTCCGTGCTCACAAATTAGCAAATGTTCATCAGAGTTCAGGAGAAACTCTCTTTGCCTACTGGGAGGGCAAACAGGACCTTGGCTAGTTTCTACCACTCTTAGTTATTTAACACTTTTCAAACAAGTTGTTGAGATGTAATCTATGAAATTTGCAGTGAACTTAGTAGTCAGGAAGCTTTTTCATAACTAGTGGCCTGTTGACCTATTGTAAGCTTTGGCCATCCCTAGTTAAAGGTGACTGGGTTGTGTCTTAAAGAAAAAAAAATATTCGAAGCTCCCTTTGTGTTGTATCTTAATTGTCTTAATTGGAGTAGCAAAAAAATGATGGCTTGAATTTGATTACTGATCTGCTTTTTATCAGAAATGCAACAGCATACTGATGTCATAAAATGATATGACTCCATCTGTCAACTTTGTTATGGAGAAGTAGAATTGATAATGTAATAAATAATCTCTATAAAACACTGTTTTAAAAATTAAGTTTTTTCTTACTGCCTTGCAGTATTAAATTTATGATTCTTTCCTACGTAGCGAAAGAAGAAATACTGCATAGAAAAAGCACTGTTTGTGACAGATTAGTTTTTACTCTATCCAGTTTTGTAGACGTTGGCCCTTCTTAAAGACCTGTTTCTGAAGTATACCCTACTTTAAAATATCCCTTCAGTTGTTCCTGAATTTGTGCCATCTTGTCTCAGTTTTTAGTGTAAACTCATCCTGAGTGTCAAAAGCTACTAGTTTGGGAGTGTTAGAATACATAACTAATGAAAATAATGGTAAAGATGGTTTTAAGTTCTAGATACTAAGCTACTGTATTAGTCAACCTACATACCTTTATTTTTGGTTTTGCTCCATTATATGACTTCAGAGAAGTTATTCCGTGCCTTTGATTCACCTGTCACTGTTCATATCTGTCATACTTTCACCTCATTGGAGCTATGTCTGTGTCAGTAAGTAAAACCAGTCAGATTCTAAGAATAAAAAAATTTAAAAAAAATAAAAAAAAAAAATAATAAAAAAAAGCAGGATAACCAAGTTCCTGATTTATTTAAGGTATCACTGATCAGTATAATTGTAACTTTAAGCTCTGATTTTTACCACTGTTAGAAGCTTAATAAGTATTCTGTAAACCTTACCTATTTTACACTGTGGGTTTTTTTCAAATAACACTATTGAATATTTTCCTGTTTAATTTTTGTAGCATTTATCTATGTTCCTGTGAATTTGAAGTCATAAAAGTGCTATCTAACACTTCTGCGAGATTTATTCAACCACAGTAATTCACTGTAATGATGTTCTTCATTAAGTCTGCAACTGCTGTCTTTACATCTGGATGAAATTTAACTCATTGCTTTCTTTCCAATGTCTAGGATTTAGTACCAACTCCAAATTTGCATGCCAACTTTGTAGAAGAATTTCTTGCATGTAATACTCTGAAACAGTTATAAAATTCTGGTTTTAAGAGGAGGCGTAGAGTAGGCCACCAAGCTTAACTGTTTTTTTGTTAGGTTCAAATTTACTAATTTACAGCTTTTCTTACTTCATAGGAGTTAGTCATTTAGTTCTGTGCTAGCTGTAGAGCCTTATGTGCCACCAGACTTTGATAGTGATAATATTCTGTCTTCATAAACTGTTCCTTACCTTAGATATCTCCTGTTATTTGCTTTGTTCTTGTCATAATTTTAGATGACACTTCATTTCTTTTCCTTAAAATCCTTTTTTTTAAAAAATGAAAAGAGATTTGTTTGTGTTGCTTAAACACTACTTACTAGTGCCAGTATCTTGTACAAGTAACATTGCCAGTTCTTAAAATTTTTGGCTTGTACGCTACATTTGCGATTCTTCACTTGATTACTTAAACTACCTTAATTCTATTATTGTATTCTTTGTGTGAAACTTTAAAATCATAATTCTGTGTGGTTCTGTCTATGCTGTGAAGTTGCTGTGCTGTCTTTTGGAGGTTGTTGTAGTTACTTCCTTTATTCCCCACTGGCATCGGCTGTGACCAATTTCAGGTTTGGGGTCAACATGAAAGCAATATCAATTTTTATGTAGAAAGCTGAACGACACAGTACCATTGTTCTATATTTCAGTTCTGGTTTAGGTAAATGAAACTGGTGCTAGTCTTCTGTCTTGACACATTCTTTATCTCTGTTTAAGTTTCTGGAGTTCTCCATCATTTGCCTAATGTTTTTGTTAGGATTAGACCATTACTGACTGTGTGACACTAAAATCTGTCCTATTTTACTGGGATCGAGAGTGAAAACTGAACATCCCATTGGTGTCTGTGTATAAAAACAGTCCTGAGAGACTTCTGACTTTTATTCAGAGCTTGATCTGTATAGAGCTTGGTGGTGAGACAAGTAGAGAGCTGTAGAAAGTGATTACATATTTTTGAGCCTCCTGCAGAGGTAGTTCTATTGCTGTTTAACTGGCCTAATAGCAAAGAATTGTCATTAGATTTTCATCGGCTTTTAATCAAATAGCAGCAATGGCTAAGAAAGCATTTCTGTATATCCGGGGATTAACAGCCATTTTTTTGATTTGAATACAAATTCTACAGTTCTTACTGTGCAGTATGCCAAGACTACATCTTTAAAAGGGTTGAAAGTTTGCTATAAATGAGAACAGGTCAAAGGGCAAGCTTGATCTAAAATACTGAATTAAAATAGTTTCTAAAACTCATAATTTTCTTTCCTTTTCTGAGAAGAAATGATTACAAGTTGGAAAAGCTTTTGTATGAAGAGGAAAAAAAGATATTTTTATTGTCAGATACTAGGCGTTTTTTTTACATAAACATGCTTTCTGAAATGGATAATGGTATTATTTGCCACCATATTAATTGGATTTTTTTTACATGTCATATATTTTAAAAGCTTATTAAAATTGCTTAATCATATCACAAATTATGTCCTTAGCAAGCAATTTATTTCTGTTTATCAGAGCTTTTAGACAGAACACCTTGCAATATCAGATCAAATATAAATATTTGTTCAAGCCTTTTTTTTTTTCTTTCAGAGTTTTACCTTTCAGAGTTTTATAACCACTGATTCAGGAGCAGTCTCTATCACTTTTCAAATGATTTTGCTGCTAATGGGTGTGTGGTAATCTGTATGTTTCTGAAGTTAAATGTAAAATATATTTGACTGCTAGTATCATTATTGCTTTTTTCAATGCAAAATCAAGGTACTCTGAAAAATTTACGCTTGGAGTATCAAAATTCTTAATTCACATTAATCCTCCATTGCTAAGCAGGACAAAATGTCATTTATTAAAGTACATTCTGCTGTGTTTTTTGACATGACATTTTCATATGAGTCTTAATTAAAGCAAACTGTTTCTTGGAACAGTTTTAAAGAATTACTCTCCCTTTCAAACTCAGTAAGTCACAGTAAATGCATTGTCCTTTTTCCTTCAATTTATCTGTAAGCATATTTGAAGTACAGTTCACCAATACTGTATATGTAATACCTGACTTTTCTGAAAATGGCCACGTTTCTTGTTAGCCATTTCAATATATACGAAAGTCACTTTACTGTGTGATATATTATTACATATTTGTCTTGTTTTGGGGTAAAAAAAAAAAAAAGTTCAGGTTATTATATCAGTATCTAACATAGGATATCCAGATTGGCATTGCTTTTACCACAGCAATATTTGAGTGCATTTGTCAACAGTAATCACAACCATAGTGCTTTTGGAAATACTTCTTAATATTTTATTTGAATAACCAATTATTTATGATCATATGTGTGATAGAAATGAGAAGTAGGTTATTTATCTTACGAGTGTATTTAATGAAATGGCTGTCCTGTGGTGATCAAAGCAGTGAGTCTACTCAGAAGCTGCAACTAATAAAGGGTTTCTCAAGCCTTTAATTTAAACTTTTTCCTTGATTTACTCAAAAAACAACGATTTTCAGTGTAACATGTAGAACTAGTATGAAACAATCTTAATTCTGCTAACAGATCAGCACGTTAACAAATGGGCAACATCATATCTGAACTAGTGTTGGGGAAACTATTAATCTGTGTAAGACATCTTTCCTAATTTTTGAGATTGCAAGGGTGATTGTAGCTGGCCTTTGAATAACTTTCTGTATAACACGTTTCTACCTTGGTATTAGAAAAATGAATTACACAATATTTTGTCCCCTTTTTTCTTGTGGGAAGAAAAGGAGGTAGGAAAAAGTTCATGACAGAAGCGTTGCTCAGATGAGGCATTAGAACCTCTAAATTTCTCAAAATGGTCAGTTCTTGAAGCATACATGTTGTAAAAGCTCAGATAGTACCATGGTTTTGCATGTACTGTAGGTTTCGCTGAGTAAAGTTGGAACATGTTCCCATAAAATTAGATTCTAGACAA